AACGCCCTGAAAAATACAGATACATTAGCCAGTAACCGAAATCACGTGTAACTCATTTAAACCCCTATCGGCGAAACAGCAACATTTAGATAGTCTATGTAGTTGTTTGAATGTTTAATAATAATCTTCATACACTTAAGAAATCCCCATTACATGAAATTTTGCTTGGTTAGTAAGTATTATTTTAGAAAATGTTGCATTTATTGTTCATCATACTACTCAGAGATTATAGGAATTTCACTAGGTGATATTCATTTACAACTATTCATTTTATGACAAAACTAACACTCGTCTTTTCTGTTGACTTATAATTTTAAAAAACACGGCTAAACTTGTATTGTTAAATCGGTATACATAAAATTTATTTTGACATTTCAAAGTTAAGATTATCGAAGTTATTGAAAAAGACACCCGAGGTCCACTACTAATATTAATATCTTAGTACTAAAAGTGAACATAATTGTAAAGATGATAGCAGTTAGACGTAATGGTGCTTACTATTCTCATTTCGGATATAATATACACGCGTATCTATTACTTTGATAGTTAAATCACTGTTTTAGTAATCTCAAGTTGATTGTGGATTTTGAACCCTTAGCATTTTTTCATTCAAGAGGACTGACTTATTGGCAAAACTCATACTTTAAGATGTCGACAAAATCTGTATATTAATATACTTATATAATCAAACGAAGTAGTTTGGAAAACAAGTATTTCATTATGAATTATTTGTGTTTTGCAGTAGGTATATGATAACTCAACATTTGTTCGTCTTGTAGAAATTACCAGTAAGTTTCCTCGGTTTCTCATCTAAATCTTGCTAGCTTTTCTGTTCTTGGGATGAACGTGAGACCAATTGTTTTCAAAGTCCTCGTCATTAAGTTTGTCTTCAAACAATCAAAATCACTGTCGTTTGTTTAAATTACTTATATCTGTCTAATAATATCTGTTTAATCTGAATTCGTGGTATGAAGTAATGTTACCGATCACTTTACAGTGTCCTAACTCGTTGTTTACAACTGTTCTTTTTTTTTTTTATAGCATGATAGTTGTATTGATTAGTTACATTGGTTTGGATCGACCAGGCTATTATTTTAGTTTACTGTATACTAGTTTAGCATTGGCATTTTTCCTCGTGAGTTCACTTATAGATTGTTGTGTTAAAGTTTTTGTTGTAACAATCTCTTCTATTGATCTCCAGCGGATAAAGTCTTATTATAATGTGCTACTCTTAATAATGTACCAACGGTAACTTGCACTTTCTATTAATAATGATTTGAATAAAACTAAACATGATTAAAACTAGCAAAAATTATATTTCTGTGATTTTTAGCAATTTAAAAAAGAAAATTGTTTTTTTTAATATTAGAACTTACTCTTCCTAACCGTCACGATGCGTTGTTCTTGAGATTTTATATAACAGTATTTAGTCATGTCACAACTTGTAAATCCATATAAATGAATGCTAGGCAAACCTTTTACACATGCCACATGATAAGGTATGTATATGCATCGTTTCCATTTGCTGCACAACATCAACTCATTTAGAAGAAACCAGCAAAGCCAAAACTACGGTTTTTGAATTTTTAAGTGAATACGTCATTTTATCTGTTTAATCAACTTAAAAACGTTCAGTACTCAAAAGTCAAATATAAAATACATAGTCTTCTGACGAACTTGAGCAAAAATTCAAGCACTTTTCGGATGCATTTCTCTCCCGTGCTAAATACAAGATGTTGTTTTAGGAATAGTCTGCATCAAACGATTAGAAGCACGTTGCGCGTGTAGATCACTCAACTTATTTTGGGTTGGTGCCCGATGAAATCTCGTCGTGGATTCAAAAATTTTTGTTATATTTTCTCAACTTGGGCCGCTTTTAGCGCAGGCGAGATATTCATCTTCCATGTAGAGGATATGTATACCGGTCAATAGTTCGCTTTGTTTTAATTTGTGGCTGTGAAAAATGGTCTTCAAAATAGAGAATATACGTTGGTTACTGGTATTTAGTCATAAGTACCTCTGAAACGTTCGTGTATGCTTGGGCTACCGAGTGAGCAACGCTTATTTTATGCTTAGGGTACTAGTTAAGGATGGGAAATCGGTTGTTGAAATAGCGAATCTTCCCCAACTGAAATGATTGGAATATGTATTATGTACGCTGAACCACCTACCTTCACGTAAAAATTTGTCTGTAGTCAAAGTAATGTAAAAGAAATCTGGAGATGACCAAACCAAAATTAGTAAGTGAAGCGATTGATTGTTGAAATGAGTAGTGAGGGTCCGCGGAGTTATCGAAAGTAATCGTTAAAAACTTGAGATAACATGGCTGAGATGCATCCACTCTTCGTCTTTCCTTAAATTTTAAATTTCTAAACCATCTCAAACATTTTTTATCATCCTATAATTCCATATTTTCTAGAATCGTATCTCTTATCCCTAACCTTTTCTGTTAGCACTAATACTGTCACTACTTTTAATACTTTAGAATTCGTCTTGACAATTCTGTCAAATTGTACTAATGCAGTACGACAACTTAAACCAATGCACTTGTGTCAGTTCTGCTCTGCGTTTGATTGACTGACTGAGAGGTCAATTATCAACCTCCAAACACTTATACAGCTTAAGCATGTATGGATTTATTTATTCTGGGATTAAAAAGAACTGTCATTCAACAGTGAATTTATGATTTTTTTAATATATACGTCGAGAAAGTTCTATTGTACAAAGAGAGAATTACTACAACCACCATCAAAAGAGTACAGCCATCTATGAGCAATTGTGTTTGCAAGATACTCCATATCCGTCGGTCGAACAACATTAGCAACAATCTACTGTGACAAAGAACGAATCGACCTTTAGTTGAAAAGTAAGTTAAGAATAGACGTTGGAGGTGGATAGGGCATACATCGAGGAACTCATCAAACTGGATCACGAGGCAAGTGATAACTCGTTATTTTCAAGGTAAAAGGAAAAGAGGCAGATCAAAGAACACATTGCGCCGGGAGTCTGAGGTAAACATGAAGGGAATGAATAGCGATTGACGAAAATTGGGAAGCAGAGCCTAGATCAAAGTTAGTTATGGAATTTTGTTCGGCAGTCAGTGCTCCATGAACCCTAACAGGCGTAAGTAAATGATCCATTAAGCGTAAGAATGAGTGGTTCATAATTAAATATTCAAGTTAGAAAACACCAAATACTAAGCTACGAATATATTTTTTCCAGGCACTCATTTTATCCTCTTCATCCTATACCACTGTCTGTTACAGTTTGTAAATTTACCGTTTTTTTTCATTTTAATTATTTTCAGATAAGAAGCCTCAAACTCAAAATCCTTCCACATGTTGAAGCATATCCATCTGAGTGTAATAAACGCCGATTATATTTACTACTTCTGATTGCATTCATTCAACCATTATTGATGTGGTGGTTGACACGTCGTGTTATCCTGTAGGAATTGTAAACCGTGTTGTTTTTTCCTTTGTTGTATTTATCATCACCATCAGATATGAAAAAAATTAAATATTGTCTGAATAACATCATTTGCTTCCTAATTTGTGTATAAAAAAATGTTAAACAGTTTTTATCTATTGTATAAGTCACATTCTTTTTTTAAAGTATTTAAATATTCGCTTATTCAGAGGAAGATTTTCCAACGACGAATTGTCGTTACATGTCTAATGTAAAAGTGCTAAGGATTGTAAAAGATTGTTTCTGTGAGTTTAGTCGTGCAACTGTGTCTTCGCTCTCCATCATATGCATGTGTTCAATGTTACCAGCTATTTGTCTATCAATATAATTTAATTATTTATTGTTTATGTGTATTCTGTTTTAGATTCTATTATTTTATTCAATAATTTACTGCAGTTTATTAACACAGTTCAATTTACTGAATTGTTTACACTTTTTAATGGTAGATAACAAGCATTAAACGTCTTCAGTTTTTATATTCATCCCATTCTGAAGTTTGTTACCCTTGCAACAATAATAATTACTGTCAATGATTTTATAATGTAGGCAATCATAGATTAGTGATTTTATCATACCTGAAATAATTTAACCTCATACTGACGAATCTAAGAATACTTTTAATGTTTACTTAAAATAAGAGACAGTTTAATAAATATCTATCATTTACTTTATTTCACATTTTGATCATTATTACCTTCATTAAAGGAGGTTGTTTTACTAATTTGAAGGATGTTAAATGATGAAAGTATACGATACTGACGACTTCGGTCAACTCGGAAAATAGCATAAAGACTTTATACTTATGAGTAAACAACTGTCAAAATCGAAATTCTATCGCCATAAAACTCATTCATTTGATAAAGACCAGTTTGTGTCCATGACTTTCGATTCATGTACATGTGCTTTCTCACTATCACAATATTTATGTACAGAATCATTGAAAGATCGTTGAAATGGTGTTATGAGATTATTACTCGACAAACAAAATTCCTAATTATTTCATCAATCAGTTTATATGATTCAAGAGTGTTTGTCATTCAGTACATCAGTAGTGACTAGATTTAATTCAGAAAAAGAGGAACGGACCAGTTATTATTAAAATTATTCTTCATATAATATCTGCATCAGGGTTAAGCACTTTTTGTAATTCCTCTTCCCATTATGCTGTTTTCACTGTTGATGGCATCAATTCTAAATTGTGTGCAATAAAGGAAGGTACTTTTTACAAAATTCTTCATGAGTTGGATACAAATTGACACTACTTTTAAATTTTGCCCAAAATGCCTGAAGTCTCTAACTTTATGCTGATTGACTTCTCTGTATAGTATAGTTTTTCTGTGGATTTTATCTACCCCTGAAAAATAGGTCTATGAACTTCAAATCTTTTGAGTACTCTGCTTTCTACTCGAACAGTTACAAACACTTTTGAATGAAACTATAGATCCCACGGTTATTTGAGTGAAGATGTTACACAACCACTTAAGTGATTTTATATTTGATTGATGCAAAACATGTGAATACTAGACTCGTTTCTCTTCAGTGTATTCATAAGGCTCACATCTTTGTAGTATTATCACTTAATTATTCTGTATAATGTTTAATACTTCATTAGCTTTTTTGTCGATTAATGTACTCATTTTATTCGTCATCACAAAAGTGAGTTCAATAAAAGTGTAGTTATTATGTGGTAACAAAAATTCGTTACATAAGTATGTGATAAAAGATTGTTGATCATACCACTGATTAATTATTTGAATGATTAACATTTAACTAAACAGAAGTTACACATAGAAGAAGAAAAAAGATTCTCATGTTGTCACGATTATATGTCATGTGGATAAAGAAGATAACCAGATAGGCTGCTATACATATGTCCATGTAAACGATAAGCTTCATCTCTACATTCCAACCATATTTGATCATTTTTATTTAATTGAATAATAGCTTGATTAGTTACAGTTGCCCAAAACGTACTTTCACACCATGAAAGTAACACGACTTTGCCATTTTGTAGTAATCGTACACCTGCCTAAATATATTTTTATAAAAATTTATTTAGACAAAAGTTACATATGATAAAAGGTAATTTAACTAGGTTATAAGTGATAGATAACTAGTATATGGTTAAAATTTCTGAACTTGAAAAATTATATATCCCTTCACCGAATTACTTGAAATCATCCTAGCTCTCCTTTCTGAGCATAAAATCCGAAAGATGAATTCAGATTTTAGAAAGTCCATTTTTTATAAATATAAGACTAATTACTTTAAAATCTAGTTTTATGCGATGAACTTCATGTAATATAATCGATTAGTCATGTTTTCAGTCTTATTTAGCCTTATGTATTTGTATGGTTTGCTTCGCGGCAAATCTACGGATTTTGTGAATACTGAACTGTCAACTGTTTGGATACGGTTCGAGGTTCTGCTTTACGTACTTTGATGTAGGCTGTCTTATCGTATTTCCGAGCCGCGCAAAATTTTTGCTTCAAAACCTTGGATGCCAAAATATTGTGGGTTGCTGATTTGCACATAAAATATCATTTTGAAACCCAGATAAATTGATATCCAAATAGCAATTCGCTAAGTACGGATAATTGGTTATAGTCTAAAACTCATAACAGTAACCCTTCTAGCTGTTTCATTAAATGGCATGTAACTTGATATCCGAGTTATCATCAATTTTTTTAATTATTACGAACGCTTGACGACTGGCAATATGTTCGAGGTCTGGTGTATTCTGTCAGTGAATTGCGATGTACAAAACGAACTGAGATGATGTGAGGTTTTACTTGGCTTCCTTCAGCTATCTGAATCCCGTTTCTTACTTACGCCTGTTACTCCCAATGGAGCATAGGCGGCCGACCAGAGTTCTCCAACCCATTCTGTCCTGAACCTTTCTTTTCAGTTCTGTCCAATTTTTCTCATGTCTGTCTCCATTCGTCGGCGTATTGTGTTCATTGGCCTTGAGGATTCCCGTTCTTAATTAGCTGCAATTTGGTGACATTTCGGTGACTATTGAATTCATTATTTCTTAACTGATGACTACAGGCAAATACTTGATAAATAAACTATCATTATGAAAATAAAGTGTTGTGTGTCTCAATTTTATGCCTGTAGTACATTTGAATTTAAGGACGATAGCTATTTCGTTCTGATGTTGCTAGTGTTTAATTCAAGTTGATTTATTTTAAGAATTGATAGCAGTCGAAAAACCATTGAAATTTACAATCTTAGTTACAGATATCATTATTATATAATGTAAGAAACCATATGCAAAAGGTCTATGTAGACTCCGAAACTTGTGACAATAGACGATAACTTACGAGAGGATTTCGAAAAATGTCACGCAGATGGTATTTTGATATAATACTTCAAGAGTATAAGTTGTGTGCGTTTCTCTACTATGTGCTGCTCATTCATATTGACTGGCAAACACTACCTAATACAATTTAATTAATCTGGATTTCTTCACTAAAAGTAACCCAATATCCACGAAGACTGAATGATCTATCAATCTTAGACAGATATTTGTGAAACAGCCGGATTCATTTATTCATGTATAAGCGGTGAATGTTAACTCTTGTCTGTAGTAGTTGACATTAAAGGTGTGTGGATAACAGTCATGTCCAATAATAAAGCGTCGTGTGTTTCAAGATTAGGACACCTACTAACAAAGAATGTATATATTTTGTTCTGTGTATCACTATATCCAGTTTTATTTTAACTGGTCCTTTTATTGTGGAAGCATTACTACGCCACTAACACTTACTAAGATGATGATAGCACTAAACAGTATTAAGTTACGTGAATTACGCAAAGTGCTCATCGACATTGTGATAAAAACCTAACTTCTGACATATCTTATTTCTCAACTAATAACAGGAATTTAAGTCGTTTTGATTGCTTTAAATACATATGAACTACTGGCAAATTTACATCGTTTATTGACCTGAAAAATAAGTCAAGTAAATTGAACAAATTTAAATAGTTGTTCTTTAGGTTTTAAGCAATTGAAGATAATTCTGCTATGATCTCTGTTCTTTCTTTATCCAAAGTGAAATGCTTGAAATTGAGTATTTCATTCATAATTTCAAGATGAAAACTAGAGAGTTTATATTGCATTTCGAATTTCACTATTACAATCAAACAGTCAACTATTAGAATATATGTATAGAATAAAATGAATCATAAATGTTTTATTATTGTTCAAATAGCCAGATTGTTCTAATGTTCTTATTCTGGTTGGAAGATTTAGAAACTGTTTCGATACTGCACGTACCATGTCTAAAATATTTAATACCTCAGTAACTATCACCATTTATTTACCATTTAAATAGGTTTATTTTTTAAAATAAAACTGGTATCACAGTTCATTGATATGGTTCTTTAATTGAATTAGGTAATCTACTGTAATTAGCACATTATTCGGTTGGATTTTGTTCATCAGAAACTTTTTACACATCTCAGATTAGTGAAAAAAATGATTTAGTTCATACGAAGCTTAAAACTTAAAAGAGTTATGTAAATTACCCAAATAATATTCTTTTTGTCGTATCGCTAATGAAAAATATCCTCAGAATTAACTTATATTCGCAAACCCCATACCAAACAATAATTGTGTCCCCTCTAATCATTTACGTGCAACAAGATTTCCTAAGTCATAATAACAAGTTTTTGATTAGTGGAGTTCAATAATGTGAATAGTAAAATAATTACCAGTCAGTCAGTCAGTAACAACGTAGAACTTCGTACGTTCGTACATCAGTTCGAGTTGCCACACCACCTTAGCACAGAGATGCAGTTGTCGATTCAAATCCCGTAGTGATAGAGGTAGCAAGATTATAAGCAGTAATCGGGAAGATTAGGGTTTGGAGATGTTATTTAAAGAGTATAATCCAGTGAAATAAATTTGGAAAGAGGAAAAAAGGGACATGAAGAATTCAGAAGATTAGAATTTGGGAGAACACAAAGAGTGGATGCACCTGCGCCATTGCAAACTGATGTCATGACCTCACAATGTCACAAGTTAAAAGCAAATCACTAAATATGAAATCAGTTATCTACAGATAATTCGCTCTCCGCGTTACACTAAACATTGATCCCAAATCAGAACCAAAACAGCTATCCATTTCTACTCATATTTTAACAGTTCTCCAGTTGACATCGTTCCTTATTAAAATCTATCTTCAAATTTCATCATATCAACAACATAACATTCCTAGTAGATTATCTTGTTGTTTTAACTTAGCGGTAAATTAATTATACTCTGATTTTGATTATTTGTACATCACTTCCTTTCGTAAAACTTTTCGTTTCAAAAAAAGAAAAGAAGGTAGAAGTTGACAGTTATAAGTATTAAAAATAAAAATCAGAGAAATGAATTTTATCCCGAAAATTTATCTCATGCAATGAGATTAAGTTTATTTCCAGTGAAAAATGTAAATATGTATGTGTGTATACTTGTATTCGTTTTCTGCTCTTTTCAACTTAGAATTTGATAGCTTTTAACACGAAACAAAGGCATTAGTCAAAATTTGTCATTTTATTGTTTATCTTACAGGGGTAAATCACACATATAACATTAAACAAAATGGAACACATATATATATATGCATTTTGTATGTATGTAAACATATGCAAATGCATTTTTATACTTATAAAGTCTGTAGAAGTAGGAAATACAATTCTATTTCACTAGAACATTTATTTAACCTATAAATATTGTCAATGATAAAATCAGTGATTGTACAACGAATAGTCAACCAATCTCGTTATTTGGTTATGCTCATATTGATAGGGATGAATAAACAAGTTTTTGTTTGTAATTCTTTTTTAAAAATCGAAACAGAATAAATATGATTCTCTTAAGCTTTTTAGTTTATCTTGAATAAGAATCTTTTAATCAATATTATTATTATTATTATTATTATTATTATTATTATTATTATTATTATTATTAGCTCTACACTTTATAACCATGTACTTGTGTCAAATTTAATTTTCAACTGAGAGTGAATATGTTCCCTTCGCGTGATCAACTTTCTTTTCTGTCTCTTTTTTTTCTTCTGAAAAAATACTTAGAAGTTTGTTTTAAATAAAAAAAGACAAATTTTTACAGATTGGGAAAAAATGTTTAGTATTAAAACTAAATATTTCTGTTCTGTGGAAAAGATGACTAAAGAAATAAAGATTTTTAGTAAATTTCAGTTGGAAAAAAGAGACCAGTTTTGACATGATATTATTCGACAGTAAAATCCTTACAACTTATATTGATATAGAACCTAGGAATATAATAAATAGTACGCTATGAATGTAAATCATCTAACAATTACATTTAGTCAAAGAGACAAAAATTCTAAAATAATCCTCGTAACAGATTTTTTATTATAAGCAAAGATGGATAGTGGGTAGTAGTAGTAGTAGTAGTAGAAGAAGAAGTGTAATCAACGACGCGCGTCTCGTCCCATTTGGGATTCGTCATCTGGATTTACCTGTATCCCAGAGTTGATACTCACTCCAGGACTCGAACCTAGTACCGTTCGCTTCAAACTCCATCGCGTCATCTACTGAGTCCTGATAGCCACTAGTTTGTGCAATGAGGTGAAGTTTAAATTCATTTTGTATTGTTTAAAAGATTGATTATTAGCGGTCCTAAACATCAATAGGAAGATTCAAATAAACAATTCAAAATGAGATTAAAACTTCTATTCTCCTTCGGAGTAAGAGACTAGCTTACTAATTTATAGGTTTACATCTCTCTAATGACCCAGTCTTGAACTCAAAAAAAGTTAGAAAAATAATTCACGATGAAACTTCACTAGCGTAAGTTGGGTTTTGATCTTAGCTTGCAACTGAGGTTGGATTTCCTAAACTTAATACATCCTGCAGAATAGAGGATGCAATTGATTTACTTTATCTTTTAATAAGCCCTTCTGGAAGTTGTTCTTGGATTCCGTAAGTAATTTTGCAGAAAAATCTACTTATCTCCAGCTATCAAAGAGCTAATGAACTGGTAAACACATGTTGAATTGGTATTTTACGATAGTTTATTTTAAATTTGAAAGCATGTAAACGGATTATTATATTGCACTATATGATTTACTGTGAGAAGTAACATTTGGAATTACCACTCCAGATACTGTAAGTAACTCGCTAGAACTATCTTCTTTGAAGTCAACATTCATAAATATAATTTTCTTCAATACTACGTCTTTAATCCATGAGAAGTGTTTTTGCCTCATATCTTCCTTAACAAATCTTAATGAAAATCTATTTTCTATTTGAAAGTGGACTTAATCATGGTCTTTTAATTCTTTATAGTCTAACTGACAAATTGTAAGATATCATAAACGTATAGATTACGCGAAACTCCATTTTTTAATTAATAGAAGACTATCATGATTTTTTTTACTACTTAATGAAGCTTATTTCTCTGTTCTGATAAAAGAATATATAAACTGGGTTAGTTACTAAATACTGTATTGCTTGTTTGTATGAAAGTAGTTTAGTCTTTAAATTAAATCGACAACTGAAGAACTCCTGATTTGTAAGTGTACATATTAGAAATAAAAACAATATAATTTTTAAGAGAATATTATGTTTAGATATTTTGAATCAGATTTAACATAAACTTACAAGATCGAAAGCTATGTGTTGTGTTTTTGATTGACATTCCAGCTTATATATGAAAACTTAATCATTCTAATGTGAAATTTCTGAATGACAATGGAACGTAGTACTGAGTATCCGAAGTGAATATTAAATTTCATTTTATATTTGTATTTATAAGCATATATAGTGAAGTTAATACTACTATAGACTAAATTCTCTAACAATATTGACTCTTGTTCTTGTAAAAGCAAACCAAATTCACTTATTCCGTTGTTTCTAACAGATCAACTTAAAATAACTGTTATAATCTAAACGAAGCTTTATATTAATACTAATTTAAAATAAATTTTACAACATTATAAATTTGTTGATTTCTATTTTTATCAATGAAATACTGGGATTTATGGAGATTATAGTATTTTCATAGTTGAATTCACGAATTAATCTAAGCTAGACCACTATTGAAAACCTAGATGCACAGGATAGTTAATATTCATATATTGATGTATATTACTTAAAATAACATGGTATTTTCTAAAATTATTTTAGTCATAAAATTAGATGTATAATTATTATATGAATGACTGTCAGGTTATAATGAAAAATGGAATTGTGGTGATGTTCTGTTCTCCAAGCTTAATAGTTTCAGTATCATTGTAGACATCGTCAACATATATTTTATGTAGGTATGATCTTCAGTTAAACAATTTTTATCAGAAAACACAACACCGAAAATACCAACCTGCGTTGTTAATCTTCTACATTATTACATAGTCATTTGCAAACCTTTTTTTATATTTGTATTACTTAAATTATATCTGTTTAACATATCAAAATAACTAATGAAATTTACCAGTGGCTTAGATACCATTAAGTATAGATAGGGGATAAATTTTGTTAAGACTAAATGTTATTTTCCTTTTAAATAAAAAGAACTTAGCGTGATATAATAAGGAGATACACAAGTCTGATTTGGAGATAAAAGGAAAATTAATTAATGTAAATGAATTTATAGTTCTGCTTTTCAGTATATTATCAAATGTAAATTTTAAATCTCATTAAGAAGAGTTGATGAAAGTTATTTGGATCTGAAGTTATCGAAAATATGACTAACTGGATCATATGCATTGTAAATCTTCACTTCATTAAATGAAGTTAGTTCAATTTTTGTAGTTAACAAAAAAGAACATTAATGTGAAAAGTGAATAATTGTTTATCCTTTTACATAGATAACCGATTTTATTGTTTTAAATCCTTAATAAAAAGTAGATAGATACAGATAATAATGAAGTACATCTAACACTATTAGTAATACCTTATAAATGATACTCACTTACACACATGTAAAATGATCTAGTGACAAATATGGTATGAAATCTTAAACTGAAATGATTTAAAATCAATCTGGTGAAATAGAACTATGTAAGTAACAAAAACTATTGTATGTGGATGAATCTCGCCTAAGTGGGAAATCATTTGAATGCTATTAGAATCAATTTACTATTTTAACATTTTTAACTATATCAACGTTGTCAATTGTCAGATTGATATAGAAATGAAAAACCAGATCATTAAATAATCCACTCACCTTTTCATAACTTTGTGCTGATATAACTACAACAAATATATAAACACCCGAAACAGGAACGGTGAATATACCTGTAGTATTGTCATATCCGTTGCCAAGATTCAACATAATTGATTCAAAAATTAATTGACAATTTTTGTTCACTGGTTTATTCTCAATACTTTTTGACAAACCTGTATAAAAAGCTATTTGATATTCTACTGGTCTAGGAATCCATATAGGTTGTAATTTTGCTATAAAAAAAAGCAATTTGACGGATAAACAGATATTACATCAGGTGGTTTTGTGGGGACTCGTATATTTTAAAGCGGATTTACGTCAAGAACTGATGACTTGAGAGAAAGGTTGAAAATCCAGGAACACTGAAACACTTAGCATTATGAACTTAACAACAATAAATATATACTCAATAGTAGCTATCTATGAAATGGAATTTCTCAAGCCCCACAGGGTAATTGTAACCAATATATTCATCTAAGTCGTATGTGGGACAACTACTCACAAACGTTAGATGATTGGATAACTGAGGCTGGAATGTTGAATTCACTGCATTAACATTAATGTCATCGCTGAAAGACATGAATGTTTGGGGATTAATAACATTCAGTCGAGAATTCCTCATTGTATTAAACACATAACACTGATTAAATCCATTATTATTACTATTACTAGTATTATTACTATTACTATTATTATTATTATTATTATTATTATTATTATTATTATTATTATTATTATTATTAGTAGTAGTAGTAGTAGTAGTAGTAGTAGTAGTAGTAGTAGTAGTAGTAGTAGTAGTAGTATCATTATAGTGTTCATGAAATCATTCTGATGAAAAGTCATACATTACAACAGTTGTCTACTGCTTCCTAGTATCTAGTGTATCTAAATATAATATTATAAGGAGAAGACGACCAGTGTAGCAGCAGCCTCAGCAGCAGTAGGTCTCAATATACACAAAGGGAAAAGCAGGATTCTCCGATACAACACAGCATGCACCAATCCAATCACAATTGATGGAGAAGATTTGGAAGATGTAAAAACCTTTACATATCTCGGCGGCATCATTGATGAAAAAGATGGATCTGATGCAGATGTGAAGGCGCGGATCGGTAAAGCAAGAGCAGCATATTTACAACTGAGGAACATCTGGAAGTCACTACAACTGTCAACCAACACCAAGGTCAGGATTTTCAATACAAATGTCAAGACAGTTCTACTGTATGGGGCAGAAACCTGGAGAACTACGAAAGTCATCATCCAGAAAATACAGGTGTTTATTAACAGTTGTCCACGCAAAATACTTCAGATCCGTTGGCCGGACACTATTAACAACAACCAACCGTGGGAGAGAACAAACCAGATCCCAGTGGAGGAAGAAATCAGGAAGAAGCGCTGGAGGTGGATAGGACACACATTGAGGAAAGCACCCAACTGCGTCACAAGACAAGCCCTCACATGGAATCCTCAAGGCCATTGGAGAAGAGGAAGACCAAAGAACACATTACGCCGGGAAATGGAGATAGATATGAGAAAAATGAACAAGAATTGGATGGAACTAGAAAAGAAGGCCCATGACAGAGTGGGTTGAAGAATGCTGGTCGGCAGCCTATGCTCCATTAGGAGTAACAGGCATAAGTAAGTAAGTAAGTTATAATTAATAATGCATTAAGACCATATAGAAAAATTACCCAATTTCACCTACTGGTTTATAGTAACAATCCTGATTACTTATTCATCTAAATTGATTACTATAATTTATCAGGATAATATTTAATTATTTATAAACTAAATTTTGTACAAACAATCTTGAAGGGACCAAGAAATAATAACATACATTTGTATGGAATAACTAATTATACAATTTTAACAATATTCTAGCCTAGTTTTCATCAATAAATTTCAAGTTACTAAGATAAAAATGAGTGATAAAATACACATCTAAATCAAATGTTGCACTTAAGCTAATTAACAATTTTTTTACTTATATTATACTTTTAAATTAATAATTAACCTTACAGTTCTTAATGAAAACTAAACAAAAATCGGTCAAGTTTCCAGATAGAATTGAGTAAATATTTCTATAATCAAATTTATTTAGTAGATAATGATGCCACCATTTTATTTTATTCTGTAAATAAAATGCATCATTAAGTTATAAACTTTATTTTAAGAGGAAATGCTTCTTGAAGTCAGTTCTAGTAAGAAGTCATGACCAGTGGAGTTCAACCGGGTCTGTTGTGAGATATCAGCTCACTGAAGACAATCGTGTACGGTGGCGCAATTTCGTGGATTAGTTGAAGTTAGACATTAACACCGTTGGATGACAGCTCAGTGGTCTAGTAGTTAAGGGCTCGCGCGCAAGACTGATAGATCCTGGATTCGGATCTCACGGGGGGAGCGAGATCGTGGATGCGCACTGCTGAGGAGTCCCATACTAGGACGAAATGGCTTTCCAGTGCTTCCAAGTTTTCCATGGTGGCTTAGCTTCAATTGACTCATGATTTCAACTATTGAAATTACTAAAGTCTCAACAAAACCCCCATCGACTATATCTTAGTAGTATAGTTCTAGTAATTAAATTATTGTTAAGAGTAGTTTTATAAAAGAAATAAAATAATATATATATATATATATATATATATATATACCTAGACTGATTTGCACATAATTATTTATTATGGTGTTAAATAACAGGAAACACTTGGTAAGATCCGGTGATGCTGATTAATAATACTTGTCTATGACTTTAAAAAAAACGTATACTTTGCAGTTGTCTTGATGTAAATTGTTTATCGTGACGATTATTGATAATCGTTCTAATTTATTCCAGTTATTAAACTCAGTAAAATGCTATGTAGAGCCTGGTATTCGTGTAGATCGGTTCAAGTTACCATGTTCAATTAGTACAGTGGGATGAAACTGATAGGGAAAGTTTCAGAATAGTAGGGATAGTAACATTATCAGTGGTAATAAAAAAGATTGAGTATCGAGGATACAATTTAAGAAATATAAATTAGTAACATATAAATACAAAACAAAAATTATGGGGAATTTAGAATTTCAGAATTTGGAGAAAGATGTAGAATGGGTGCACTTATGCCGTTGCAAATGATTTTCAGCCAAATCATTCAACGTCTGTAACCACTAGTTACTATAATCACGCAGATCACAACCAGGTAGTATACATTTGTTGAAATGGCCTAGTCCAACTGTCAGTGACTTTATGGACTGATGCCGAGTTTTGGTTTGGCCTCCCATAGGTTTATAAGATTCTACTCCTATACGAGATAGCGTCGCCCGTCAAGGTAGGTGATGGATGGCATACGCTACACACGTCCCAAACACCTCAGTTGATCAAGGTATGCTATCTCTTTAATCGACTTCCCATCCATACCTAATATCCGATTCCTAGCCCAAGCATTGCTTACTGGAAGATAACTACCACTAACCTATGAATTTCCTCTACACTTAATGGCCGTGTTTCACTCGGACAAAGTAGAACGGAGCAAATTGCTAAATAGTAAGATTGTCCTTTGTTTGAAAGACGGATATTTCACTAACCCCACAAAGGACTCAAGTCGCCAAAAGTCAATCAAGCCTTCTAAATACGTGCGTCCAACTACATCGGCGATGACGCAAGCTAATCCTGAAGTAACATCGTACATTTAGATGTTATGAATTGCATCCTAAGCCTATTGAGTCATTGAAAAAGAATTATAGACAATTTAATGAAGAAAATATTACCTCCGATCATGCGACTGTTAAGGCTACAGCTGCGCACAAATTACTGACCGAAGTTAACTATGTTTGAGGAATGGAGTAGTGATTGACTTGAAATCCCGTTTAAATAGCCATGCTCTATCGTGCTGGAATAGTCGTTTATCATGTGAACGCTTTGTATGGCAAAAATCATCTACTCCACAAAAGCAGATAAACTGATAAATGCATATTAAGGTGGCCCAATGTGATATTTATTCCGATCCACACTTGTTTTCTGTGTACAAAAGAGTCATGATCAATTCCATATTACACTTCGACCCTAGCACTATTTCTTACTTAATAAATCGTAAGTGTCATTTATTATATCAGTCATTATTTTTCTTTTCTGTGAAAAAGACGCTTACCGTTTACATTTCTACACTGATTAGTTCCTATGATCCCTAGAACTATAAAACAACATGTATTAAGCACTTGAACCTTTAGAGTTTTTGATTGCTTTATTAAATTATGCAACATTTCTTTATTTTCATAGACTTTAGTATTCTATACTTAAGGATGTTTGGGCATTCTTGACAAATTTACTAAATAATGAAATACTTTTCTGTTTTACTATAGATTGCGGCACGTAAAATTAACAGTCACTCATTACTGAGTGATAGTTTATATGATGTCAGTTCAGTTCTTATTGATGGATGAAATTCACTGACTTTCAGTACAATCACTAGTCTAAGTTATTAAATATTGTATGTCTTCAACTAAGAAATATCAAAACGTTGTTTACAAACAATCGTCATTCATCTTTTTATATTCTGTTTTTAACAAAATCAACAAATTATCAGAATTCAGGCATGATTTTTAAACTGGGTAAATCGCCAGGAATGGTGATGAGAGTTTCTTCTCTGAAACTCCATACAGCGATGAAAATGAAAATAATCGTCTAACATTATAGTTTTTGGAAGTTCATGTATGAAGGCTGGAATTTCGATTGTAAATTTGTCAAATCATTACCAGGATAACTAACGTTTAAAATCTATACTTTTTCTTAGATGCAGGGTTTAAAAATTGGCTGGTAAAGGCGTCAAAGCAATTAAAAATCATGAAGAGCTAACATTTTTAAAGTTAGTTTTAAAAACATAAAAGATGCGACATATCTTAGTGTTTTCTATAATTTTTGCTTTGAGATCTAGACGTTAAAATTGCAATTCATTTTCATGAATAATTTAATAGCACATCGATAAACTTTCTTTTAACTTACTTGTTTCTCCGCGAGGACCTGGTGGTCCAGGATTTCCTTGTTCCCCAGTTGGTCCAGCTGGCCCTCGAGCTGATCGAACAGGTATGCGTACACGACCATATCCAGATGAACTAGCTCCGATACATTCTAGTTGTAACTGGCAAGTAGATGAACTTTGAGAAATATTTTTTTGAACATGTGATGTATTACAAATCAGTAATAATAATGATAATAACAGAAAGGCTACAAAAATTACGTTTAAATAGTTCTTAGTCTTGTTCATTTTTTCGGTGATTTAATGAACTTTTAAAATAATCTTGTTTTAGGTTCCATGTTCCATATGAAGGAAATCCAAATCCTTTTCCTCATGTCCGATTGGTAGTTTGCAAGTAGCCAATCAGAATCTAGTTTTGAGCAATTTGTATCAGTTTGCAAGTAAGCTGCAAGGCGACCTAAAAAGCATATTAATCCACATCCTCTAAAGCTAATTAGATTCTGTATTCAAACTTTAAGAATTTATAGTACACATTCTAATCATGGAAAAGATCGTTGTATATGGTCTTTATTTCCCTTCTATATTATTGTAAGATTGCTTTATTAAAACCATGGGAGCCTAATAAATTAAAATGAGTACAACTAATTAGTGAAAATAATCTATTTATAGTGCAACAATGATATGCAACGCACAGATCTAATTCCTGACTGACAGCTTGAAACAGTACTCTGTTTTGTTTTGGACGTACATAATATACCCTTACATTTGCTCAATGAGACCTCATTCTCTATATTGTCAGCGTTATAAGTTTTGGCTTCCGGTGGACGGTGGCACAACTTTGTGGATTGTTTGCAGTTAGACATTAACACCATCGGATGCCTGCTCAGTGGTCTAGTGGTTAAGCGCTCGTGCGCGAGACTGTTAGGTCCTGGGTTCGAATCTCACGAGGTGTGATCGTGGATGCCCTCTGCTGAGGAGTGACACAATATGACGAAACAGTCGTCTAGTGATTCCAAGTTTTCCATGGTGGCTTAGCTTCAATCGACTCATGAATTTAACTATTGATGTATAGCTCATATACATGACAGATAATTCAATGAGCCATTACAACCATACTAGTTACATTTACGAATATCATGGTGAATAAATATTGAGTATTTATTCACATCTGTCTAGTTTGAACATTGTTGAGATATGCTGGTCGAATTGTGAAGGATAATTCAATCGTGACTAAATTGTGTCCCAAGTAAAACTTATCGTTATTTAACATTTGTTTTTCATTTAAGCAGTGAAGCTTTGTATTCCGCTTATATCACCTCAACTATAGTAAATACTTTTTTGGTACGACTTTTATACATATCGCCACAGTCATCTCAAATTTAAGTTACTGACTCGATTTTAGCAAAATGGAATGAACTTAACTATTTGCAACTTTATCATATATTACGTAATATGATTTTCTGAAACAAATTCCCAGTCTCACTTAACTTCCAAAAACATTAGAGAATTGATGTAGTGATTACTAATGACGCTTTAGATCCCCGTTTCATCTTGTTTAGTAAATATCTACTGGATGAACCTGTACTCCAACATCGACGTTGCTTCTGTTACGTCATTAAAAATTATTGGCTGTTCAATTTCACTAATAAAAACTGTAAGCATTTTAAATATTTGGCATTAGTTAGCTTTTCTGACTAATTTCCTTCTGGAAACAGTTTGTCGATGTCCCAAAGACCCTCAAACAAGAATAGTAATAAACAATAGATGTTTCCGGGGATTGAAGGTAATATAATTAACGAACATTCACATAAACCCACTAACTGTAACCATAATAACCAAATTGGACTACCCGTATTACAATTATGTATCGGAAAATTTAACTGGTTTCCCCTCCTAAATAGCATAAATGCAGGCTGAAAAATGGAACCAGATGCACAGAATTAACCCACAATGTTGAAGAGCTGTTCTAAGTCGTCTATATTTCTTAGATTACGGCTTCGCTATAGTTATGTAGTTGGAAACTAAGCAACATGGACATTTCTCTATCTTCCGCTAAGTTTTGAACATACTTTTCGTTCGTTAATTGCAACCTTGGCGAGACTCTAATTTAGGGACGACCTTTGAACGAATCTTAAACGACCTTGACAATTATTAGCCAATCAGAAGACAGTATAAAGTAAAAATTGCTCAAACGCTTCCGATTGGCTCGTCCCTAAATTAGAGTCTCGCCTCAACCTTCCCTTCTCAATTGTACTTCTCACGTCTGGTTCTTTAATGTCATTATTGATATTGTTCCTACTTTTCAGTAACCTCTGTGGAATGGGTGGGAAGTAAAACTAGAACACAATCGTTCCAACTGTCTCATTGTCTGAAGCTGACCGAATGTCCAACAAAATGGTTCAGATTATTCCTACAGTATGGTCTGTTTCATAAATACACAAGATTAGTCAATCGGTAGTCAAGATTATCTAAAATATGAGAACTGTTTGGAAACTTGATTAATCGCAATTAGATTACCACTTATCAGTGATTGACTACTTATTTTATGCATAAGACGGTCGCAAATATTGATATTCTCCCAGCACTTTAAACCACTTAGTTCAACTGGCAATGGTTTATATTTTCAAATAGCTGTTGCTAATATGTGTGCATTCTGAGAGGAGTAAATCGACGCTCCTTTTGGAGAACTTATCTGGACTCTGGTCTGCGTCAGTCTTACCTTACTTTTCAGTGGCCAACGAAGTGACTGCCACCAAATGATTGATGTCAGCAAGTTGGTTGCAACTTCTGTTGCTAGTAAGTATCTAACCGAGCTAGCTTTTAGGCTAGCTACCAATCCACCGAAAAGTATAGATAAGCATTGGTTGCAACTTCATGACGCCATCAAAATGGCGAGTAAAGCCGCTTGCGGCTTCGCGAAACGACGACCGTTACGTAATCAAATTAGGCAAAAATTGCGTAAGGACCGAGAAGCCTGATGGTCGGAGCATACTAATGAGCTGGGAGCAGCAGCTGCACCTGGTAACTACCGGAAGCTCTTCCAACTCATCTGAGCCACTGGCAGCAAGGAGGCTGATGTGCGCGAAACAACCTAAGAGAATGACGGGATGCCAAACACCAACACCCATCAACGTCTTGGACGATGGGCAGAATTCTTCGGAGGGCAGTTCAACTGGCCCGCTGCTCCGGCAACATCGATCAGGCTGTCCTGCCCTCCATGGTCGGTGACGACTGATCCACCAAATAAGTCGGAAGCCACAAGGAACTCCAACTCTTGAGACGCTACAAATCACCGGTCCCAGATGACTTACCTCCGGCTCTTTTTAAAGATGGTGGTGACCTTCTGACTAAGGAACTGACTGAGTTGTTTACTGAGGTCTGGGAGCTAGAGTGTGTACCAACGTCATGGAATGAGTCGATAGTTGTCCCTATCTTTAAAAAGGGTTCACGTCGTTCCTGTAACAACTATCGGGGGATAAGTCTACTTCCGATTGCGTCCAAGCTATTGGCTTCCGTCATACTTCGTAGGTTGTTCAAAACCCGAGAAAGATTGACTCGCGAGGAGCAGGCTGGGTTTCGTTCTGCTCGAGGATGTATTGATCATATCTTCACCCTCCGCCAAATGTTAGAACACCGCCATACTTATCAAAGGCCAACAATCGTAGTGTTTCTTGACATCAGGGCTGCCTTCGATTCGTTGGATAGGACTGTTCTCTGGGATTGTCTATTGAAGAAGGGCGTGCCTGAGAAGTTTATTAACATCCTAAAAGCCCTATATACAAACACCTCAGACAGAGTGTGGGCATACAACCACCTCTCTCCATTGTTCCATTCGAGCAGTGGGGTTAGGCAGGGTTGCCTAATCTCACCATTCCTCTTCAACTTTGCCATCGATGACATTCTGGAAACAGCTCTGATGGATGTAAGTAATGGTGGTGTGGATCTGTTGCCTGGAGAAAGACTTCTCGACCTTGTGTATGCGGATGATATTGTCTTACTGTGCGATAATGCCCAAGCCATGCAATCCGCACTTAATCAGTTGGCAATCAATGTCTGCAGGTACGGTATGTGCTTTGCACCTTCGAAGTGCAAAGTACTTCTATAGGACTGGCAGGATTTCAATCCTGTACTCACTCTGGATGGTGAGCAGATAGAAGTAGGCGAGAAGTTCGTGTATCTGAGTAGCATCATAAGTGCTGGTGGGGGTGTGAGTGATGAGACCAATACACGTATAGTGAAAGCCAGAGCGACTTATGCCAATCTGGACCATTTTTGGCGCCTTCGTGATGTTAGTCTGGCTGTAAAACGTCGGATCTACAACGCGTCGGTGAGAGCAGTATTGCTCTTTGCTTGTGAAACCTGGTCTCTCTGAGTTGAGGACGTTAGACGACTCTCTGTGTTCGATCATCGTTGTCGCCGAAGGATTGCTGACATTCAGTAGCAACACCATGTCAGTAATGCAGAGGTCCGGCATCGTGTGTTCGGGCACAGAGATGATAATTCAATTGGTGTCACCATCTTGAAATACCGAGTTCGATGGCTTGGACATGTTCTACGAATGTCGTCCCAGAGAATTCCACGTTGTGCATTATTTGCCGACTCTGGGACCGGTTGGAAGAAGTGGAGAGGTGGTCAGTGCATGACATGGTGTCGTGGTATGAAAGAAAGCTGTAAAGGACTGGCTTCTGTTGGTCCTTCACGACTCCCTGGCTTGGGTCCGAGAGATGGTGCGACACAGTGGCTAGAGATGTTATCAGATATGGCTCAGAATAGAAGGCAGTGGCGATCCTGCTGTAACCTTCTTTTACTTTCTTCATAAACAGTGGTTGTATCTTCTTTAACTGGAAGAATTATTTCTAGTTGTATTTTTGCTAACTTAACTGCTTCTTCATTTATTATTATTTCACTATTATATACCAATTTCTATTTGTTACTGTTCCACTTTTTCCCATAAGCACCTTACATTCTTTATATCTTCACGTTCTCATTTTTATTGTATGACGTATATGTATTTGGTAACCCCTTTGTATCAATATTTATGTGCTCAAATAAAAATTTTAGTTTAAATAAGAAAAAGCCCATTATTCGACTTTATGTTGTAATTGATCGTTAATTAAGTCTGTTAACCACTAAATATCCTTACTACCTTAAGAGTTTTGTATATATTAACAAATAATTAACCCCAAAACTCCCCACTGATTTGTAATCGATGGTAATCCATTCATGCGGGGAATCAGATTGGATTATATAAATATTTTTATTTGTGAATTTAGTTATGCTGACAGTAGCATAATGTTGGACTTACATTTAACTT